AAAGGTCCATCCACATAAACGAGCTAATCCAAAATGAAATAAGGGAAAGTTTTCTTCCATAACAAAAATACTTTTTAGCAACAATATTTTTTTAAAAAAAAATCAATTAGAGACGATATCGATTCAAGAAAAATTATTGTGATTTCAAATTAATCATTGACTATATCGGAAAACTAGACAATCTTTATTTTCTTTAATTTTGTTAATCCGAGCCCAAGACATAAGTTATTTCTTATCAATAAATCAATTGGTATTAAGCAATCCTCATAAGTCTATTGATAGCATGATGCGAACTAAAGAGTTAAAAATGAACAATAATTTAACAAGCGTCAAGTTATTTAATTCATTATATGTTTCTTTTAAGCAAGTAATAGAAACTTAGATCATAATTGTTCTATTTAATTACTACTTCAATTGAACTTCATAACAGCTTATAGATTATGAATTCAATTTAGCTATAGTCCATGCAATTCAATCTATTAATAGATCTCTTAATCAATTAAATCATGCAATCAATCACATGTCAACCTAAGAAACAAATATATTTGAATAGAAAAATAATTAAGATTAAGAATAGAGTCTCACAACTTTGTCGACTATATAGAAATTATCTTAAATCAACTAAAGAATTTAGCCGTGACATGAAGAATATAAAATACATAATAATATTTAGAGAAAAGCTAGAGGAAAGAGAAGAAGTGCTTTTGTTTTCTCCCCTACTATTTATATCCCAAAAGAGATAAGAAAATAAAATAACAATCATAACCTTTCCTAAAAATTAGTTTTGCTGATTTATTATTTTTCCTAAACTTGGTGAAATGCTTTTCTCTCGTTCAAGATTCGCCTCACGGTGTCTACAAGGAAGATAACATGGAAGCCATACATGGCACTTTTTTGGTGCAAAAGTGTAGTCCCTATCATAGTATTCCGAGAGATATTATATACATACCGTATGCATGATCTTGCCTTTCATTTTGTCTCGACTCTCCAAGTTGTTTTAGTCCTTCATAAGCGAATTGTCCTTGTTTCCCTTGTATTATGTCTCACTTTTATTCCGATGGACAAATTGTTGAATGTAGAGTCAAACAAGGATCGAAGGGGTTTATATCATCCAATACATTGTTTAGAAGAAGCAAGCACTCACCGACCCTATTGATTTTTAAGTATTCTATGATTATACAAACGTGTAGTATCATAATGCAAGAAATTGGACCTTATTCCTATACCAATGGCTATGTATGTTAATGAATATCATAGTTACAAGGAAGTGGACCTATTTATTCCAAATTATTCTCGCTGCTATATTGAATGGAATAACAATAATTTATTTGTTTTGGATACGGACGTTGATTTGGTATTTTGACTATACCTTTACCTTGAGCTAACATCTCATCCCATATATGATAACTTCGTTAGATGTGATGAATTTTATTTTTATATGTTGTCATTTGTTATTTGAACCAATTTTGCCGAGGTAATATCTCATTATCATAGTCATGATTAAACCATGCCAAACCGCCTTTTTTCCAATTCTCCCGCAACCAATTTTACCTTTTTTTATACTTAACCTAGTTATTTGTATCTTTTATTTTCCCCAATTCATCATAAAACTCCTCTATTATCAATTTGTTCAAATGATTATGTAAAATAATAATAAAAAAATTATTCTACTAAAAAATACCAATAGGAACATGTTAAAAAAGTTTATATATAAATATATTGGCGTGGCCACATTATAAAGAGCAATTTTGTACAGTAATCAAGAAAAGCAAAACTTGATCACACACATGGTGGCTAGATTGCAATAAATGTTTAAATATCACGAAGCTAGTTTTGTATTTCAGTTTTCTATATCAAATAAACGTTAAAAAATAATTTTCAATAGGTTTTTCATATAATTTTCAAACATCAAAAAATATTTTTTTAGAAAACAACTTCCTAAAAACTAGCTTTTTCAAAATTAATTTTCCTATTAAAAGTTGTTTTTCACCAAACAAATACAACCCAAAGAAAGCATTGTTCATATTAATTTTATTAAATCTAAATCTATCAATCAATTTTAAAGAAATTTGATGACCTCATCATTTTATCAATTCAAACTAATATTAGAAATCGGATATGCAAAGGACTTGATCTATAGCAAGTAAACTTAGCCGATTGGATCAGCTTGGAACAAGAATTGATCTAATTTTTCAAAATGATAAAAAAATAATATGAAAAACTTGTAGTTTATAGAATTTGAACTTGATACTTCTTCCTTTTAAGATAATGACATTTAAAACTTCATTATTTCTTATTTGTGTGTGTGTGCATGTGTGTGTGTGTGTGTGTGTGTGTGTGTGTGTGTGTGTGTGTGTGTGTGTGTGTATAGCCAAATACGCATATACAAATATTACAATAACCTTGTGATCCGACTAATTACTCACTAATTGAACCAATAACTCAATTATTTAATAGATTGATCGAGACGCTATTCAAACTAGGTTTATAAATAACATTGGTTTGCATAAACTATGATTCTAATGTTGAAGTTGTTTTTAGTCATACTTAAGCTAGGTTTGGTAATATACTTACTTCGTTTTTAAAAATATTTTTTAAAATACAATTGGCCTAAAAAAATATCAATTGAAAAAACATCTACACCGCATTACCAAATTCACATTTAGTGTTCGTTTTAGCAACCATGGCTTTTGGCTTCTTCTTTTTTTGTCTCCAACTTTTCGGGCTTTATTTTTTCAAAAGCCATTGAAAAATTGTAAAATTCTAAACCTTGTTTTGAAAACCATTTGAAAGTCTCAAAGAAGTTAAAAAATAAAAATTTTAGAAACTTTTGAATCTTATGTGACATAAAAATATTTTAACAATACATATTATTGAATATCTTTTTACAATTATAACAATCATAACTACATTAACAACTATAGTAAAAACTAAACATGCAGAGCATAATGTGAAAATGTGAAGCCTATTTTTATTGACTTGATGAGGGCCTTTAAATACAAAAGAAATCATAACTGACTTCCAAGAAAGTAGTTGAAATATTCAAATGATAAGATTAAACAAAATAAGAATAACGATGGTGAAGAAAAAGTAACCGCAATAGTTGTTTATGGATGAAGACCAACGATTGTAATAGTTATTTATGGATGAGGATTAATTATTTCTCCACTATGCCCCCTCAAGGTAGAGGTTGTGTCAACAATGACTAGCTTGAACGGATGCTGATGAAAAGCGGACTTAGGAAGAGGTTTGTCGGTGTATCTACAACTTGATCTATCGCGTAGACGTGTTGAACATTAACTAATTTTTGTTGGACTTGTTCTCGAACAAAGTGAAAATCAATTGTAATGTGTTTCATTCAACTATGAAAAATTGGATTGTGACACAAATAAGTAGCCCCCATAAGTTCACAAAGAATGGTGTTGCACCCGAAAGTGAAACTTAAAGTTCAAACAGAAATTCATTACCCACTTTGTTTTAGTCAAAGCACTTTCCACCGCTCAATATTCAGCCTCTGTAGAGGATTTTGCCGTTATTTTTTTATTTTTAGAAAACCAACCGATATGGTTGACACCATAATACAAGATGTATCCAAGTGGTTAACGTGTGATCATTTGGATTGCTAGCCCAATCAGAATCTAAATACATATAGAGAGTAGATGTAGAATCATGAGTAATTTTGAGCCTAAAAGGCATGGTTTTCTTTATATATCGCAAGAGAGGTTTTACTACTTACTAGTGAGATTACTTTGGAGAGTGTATGAACTATGATAATTTGTTAACAATGAAGCATATATCCAATTTAGTGAATGATATATATTACAGCTTACCAATAATGTTGTGATATTCCGATGGTTCTACAATAGGGGCTTGATTGTCTAAGGTAAGAGTCAAACCTGAACTCATTGGAGTATAGACTCATTTACTATTATGCGTATTGGTATGATGCAAAATATCTAAGATTTAGTTGGTTTGATTAAGAAATAGACCTTCATGCTCGGTGAATCACTTCAACGCCCAAAAAATAATTAAGAGTACTCAAGTCTTTGATGGAGAATTTGTTTACTAAAGTAGCAATTACCTCACTAACAATGTTTGAATGGATTCTCGTAACAATTATGTCATTAACATACACTAAAATGTAGATAATAACATCAAAGGTGTGCATGATGAAGAGGGAATTGTTAGAAATGGATCAACGAAAACCCATCCGTAGAAAAAAATATTTTAGCTCATTATACTAAGCTCTAAGTGTTTGTTTCACGTCATAGATTGCTTTTTTTAACTTACGTACATGGTCCGGGAGACTTGGATTTTCAAACGTCGGTGGTTGTCGCATGAATACTTCCTCTTCCAAATGCCCTTGAAAAAAGGCATTATTTACATCTAGTTGATGAATTGGCCATTGTTTTTGAACTATAAGAGATAAGACCAAGTGAATTGTTATGGTCTTGATAATGGGGCTGAACATGAAGTGGTAGTCAATGCCTAGTCATTGTGTGAATCCCTTTGTAACCAATCTTGCCTTATAGCCGTCAATAGAACCATCGGATTTGTGTTTGATTCTAAACAACCATTTACAATGAATCGATTTTTATTGGGATCATTTGGCACCAAATCCTATGTCTTGTTGTTTAACGAGCATCAAATTCAGATTTCATAGCAGCTCTCTAATGTGCAAGTTTTCGTGTTTGGTTAAAAGTTATAAGAGTGAATGGAACTAACGGATAGGCTAAGTAATCAAAGTTTTTTTGCTTTATGAATATTACATTGAGATCGGGTGACCATTTGAGTGATTGTAGAATTACGATTCGAGTGTTCTAAAAAGGAAGGTATAGGTTGGTTGTTTTGGTCAAGTGAGGGTGATGGAATGGTATGCGTTGCAAGGGGATGAGTAGGTATCGCCATGGCTAAAAGAGGTAAACTATTACCGGAGGTAGTATGAATTTCAGGCGAAGTAGGTATGTCCACTAGTAGTTTGCGTAATAGGAATAGGAGGAATGGTAAGAGAAATACATGGGGTAAGATTATTTGAAAAGTCTTTGTTATTAGATTTGACAGTTTGAGAGAAGATAATATCCCGGGATAAGTTTAAAAAGGTGTTTTTAATTTTTGAAAACATAGTTTGAAAAGGAAACATATCTTCAAAAAACATGATATCCCTTGATAAATAAAATTTGGAAGAAGTTGGATCAAAACACTAATAACGATGATAAATGAGAGAGAAGCCCAACTAAACACAAGGTGTAGAACGAGCTTATAATTTATATGTGTATAAGGCTTGAGCTAGAGATAGCAAAGACATCCAAAAGTCCGAATGGAGCCATAATTGGGAGAGGTATTAAACAAAATTTGATATGGGGATTGTTGTTATAAATTTGGAGTGGGCATATGATTGATTAAATATTTGGCTTGGTGACATGCAAATATCCAAAAATTGGATGGTAAGGATGCTTGTTGGAGCAATGTTTTAGTTGTTTCTATGATATATCAATGACGACACTCTACAATTACTACTCTTTGAGGTGTATATGGTGGTTAAATAAGATGTTCAATACCTTGTGAATTAAGAAAAGATTCGAGACCCTCAAATTCACCATCACCATCAGTGTAAACAAATAGAATTTTAGTATTAAAATATCGTTCAATCTAAGGTTGAAAATTTTTGAAAATGGTTTAAACCTCATTTTTAGTTTTAAGTGTATATAACCGTGTATATTGATCAATAAAAATGACATAGTAAAATTTTTTATTAATAGACATGACAAAAGATGGTCCCTATAAATTACTCGTAAAGAATTTGGAAAGGTTTATTACTTTGTAAGGTGTTGTTTGAAAAAGACAACCCGAGAAATTTATTTGATAAACAAGAATTACACGGAGTGAAATCATCTGACTTGCTAAATGGCAAAGAAAACCGATTTACAATGTAATACGTAGTTTGAGAATTGGGATGTCCCAATCTGTGATGCCACGAGTGTAAAATAAGTTGTTTGGTGATGAGATTGGATCGAGGATTTTGGCATGGCGAGATGATGTCCCGAAGACCATATATATAATCCCTCCTTATTTTCGTCACACATTAGTGGAGCTCCAGTATTCAAATCCTTCATAAAAAATTTAAAGGAAAAGAATTCAATGGATATGTGATTATCGGTGCAAAACTTAGAGATAGAGATTAAATTTTGTTTGATAGTAGCATCACGGAGAGTATTAGAGAGGTGAAATCTAGAATTTGATGCACACAGTTGAACACTACTAGTATGAGAGATAAGAATTGTTTTACCATCATCCATTAAGATTTCTTGAGGTCCGCGATAATCTTAGCTATTTATGAGGCCTTATGAATCGGGTGTAATATGATAAGAGGCACCCGGATCGACAATCCACGAGGTGGAAGTGAAGGAATTTAAACCAACAACATAATTAGCTTTGGACTCTAAATGATTGTGAGATTTGGATCTACATATATGGGTAGTGTGACCAAAGAGATCACATAATTGACATCTTACTCATGATTATGATGGGAAACTAGGGTTAAATACGAGCATAGGTATGAGTTAGAATTGGTGATTGATGCCATGATCGAGGGGGTTCCAATGCTCGGTTGTTTTTAGAAGTGGTGGTGGGAAATGGTTCTTTTGAGCAACAACAGCAGTGATGATGGTTATGGTCTTTTTGAGATCTTCATGTTTAAAAAAAGCTCATGATCTAGAAGTTTGTCATATAGCTTTTCATATGAAATGAGAGAGTCTTTAGCACGTATACGGCAGAAATTACTTGAAATTCTAGACCAAGACCATTTAGAATTTTGACAATGAGTTCTTCATTTGTAATGGATGCACTCGCAGTGGGTAGTTCATCCGCAAGAGATTGTATTTCTCTAAGATAGTCTATAATAAACTTTGAGTCTTTGGATATTTTGTTGAGATGGTCACGTAGACTAAAGATCCGTGTCCGGGACTTCGTTGGCAAATATTATATGTAATGGATCCCATGCTTTCTTCGAGGTGGCGATGAACGACATCAATCGTGGCAATGATAGGATCTATTGATTCCATAAATGCATTTTGAATCAGCTTGAGGGTTCTCTCGTCTCTCCGTTATTAGTGGTGATAGTTTATGGTGGTTTAGGTTTGGACCCATCAATATAACTATATAAGTCATGGCCGTGCACTAGCATTTTGAATTATGATTTCCAAGTGGTGAAGTTATGGCTACCAAGCAATTTGATTGGTAATTGGGAGGTCGGGTTGAATTGGATAAGTTGATTGGAGTTATTTGTGGATCGCTAAGTAATCCATGACTTGTTGAAATTGTTACGGGAAAGTGGGATGGTAAAAAAAAATTGGATCACTTGTTAGAGTTTTTGCGAGCTCGATACCATAGAGATGCATAGCATAATGTGAAAATGTGAAGCCTACTTTTATTGACTTGATGAGGGCCTTTAAATACAAAAGAAATCATAATTGACTTTCAAGAAAGTAGCTGAAATATTCAAACGATAAGATTAAACAAAACAAGAATAACGATGGTGAAGAAGAAGTAGTCGCAATAGTTGCTTATGGATGAGGACCAAGAATCGCAATAATTACTTATAGATGAGGATCAATTATTTCTCCAATAAAAACTACAAGTAAAAACCATAACTTTTCAAATTATACTTTTAATTCATAAAGTTTTGAATCCAACTATGGTCTAAAATCGATTCTTATAAATATTTCATATTCAAATATTACTTATTATTGAAAAAAGTTTTATAGCTATTTTTAAACGCACTATGCCACTATTTGGAAAGTTTCAAATGTTGACACTTTACCCAAAATAACTTAATTCAATTTTCAACAAGACAACTTATAGAGTGGGATGGAAGGAATAATATTGTCATAATACTAGAAATATAGTGATTCGTTTGTGGTTTTGGAACCACTAAGATAGATGAACCAAAGCAAAAAATACCATCAAGTCGGTTTTTTTTTTTTTTTCTTTCCTTATAAGGCATTGTAGAATTTACCACCTATCAAGTTCATTTTAATTCTATCATATTTAATCACATAAAAAATTCATAGATTTATATAGTTTTATATACATTAAATTTATTTAATATTATATGAAATAGTTTCATGTATTTGCTATGATTATTGACCCTTCGAGATGTGTCTATGTGTTTGTCTATATACCATACAATTTTAGACTTTAAATAGGATATTTCCCATCCCCTACTAAAAAATGTTCTTAACTTAGTATTAGTCCTCAACCTATACTAGTTTTTCAATTAGGTCACCAAACTATAACATTATGTTCAATTTGGTCCACAATCTATATTTTTAACCAATCCGGCAATTTGGAATTCTTCTACCAATCTTGTTATACCTTGTCGCATCCATCTGTCCATTTAAAGGGGATCAAATCACCTTTAATTTGAAGTTTTGGACTTGATTTTATCCAATTAATAGAGGTTTAATTTGATAAAATATAAGACTAGAAGGACAGCATAAATGCTTCAAACGACATGTCGTCATTCTTGAAAATAAATTCACAAGAATTCTGAATTCACATTCAGACATGAACAACAAAAAGTCAATGTCTTCCTCGTACTTGAAATCAACATCATCAGCAACTCAGAGAAGAACATCTCAAACATCAAACAACCCAATAACTGCTGGACCGCTCAATCCGGGTGTAGCTCCGTCCCCAAATCCAAGACCTATATTTCAGTTTCTAGCTTTTGGACTTTTTATACTGCTTGGCTTGCTTCAGTTGCTACCTGCCACTCATTTTCGTGACCCGTTTGACTCTTCTAGAAATTGGTTTCCTATCCATTCTAATATTTCTTCTCCAGTTAAGTTCAGTTTATGCACTTTTTTTTTTTTTTTTGGTTAAAGTTTGAAACTTTTTTTTTTTTTTGCTGTGTAGTCAAGATTGATGATTTATTGTATATACTTGTGACTCATAGTTCTGTTTTTATTTTATTTTTTTATGGTTATAGTTGAACGAGTTTGGGGATGCAAGAAATCGTGATGGAGGTGGAGATGATGGAATGGTGCATGTTGTTTCATGGATGGATTGTTTAGACCTTAGAATTCTTGCAGTTCTTGCAAATTCAACTCTGTCTAGCTCAAGGTTTGTTTGAACTTATGGAAAATGATCCTTGTGTTGTTTTGTTGAAAAAAGGCTCAAGCTAGCTACTTGGTTTCGAATTTTCAGCATTGGATGATAGATCCTTCTGCATGTTTATTGCTTGTATCGGTAATTTAAATTTGATATTGTGTATTAGAGTTGTTGTTTTGCCTTTTCATTGGTTTTTTCAATTGCTTGTTATTCTTTGTTGTTGGAATTTGGATTTGGTGGAGGAGGCTTGATATTCTATTCAGTTAAATACTTTTCTCGTTTCTCATTTCTTGTTGATGATGATCAGCTATCCAGAACTGGTTTTCTTTCATTTCTTTATCCCTGGAGGTAATGAAGACAAGGTGTCTTTCTATAAGTTGAAGGTCTTGTTTCCACATTCCAACCTTGAAATTCACGGGTACGACTATTACAATTATATTTTCGAACTAAATAATTCATTTGGGGAGCAGTACTCTGTTCAATTTTGTTGATGTTGTCGTGAAATAGTGTAGGCAGGAGGAGGTTAAAGAAATGATGAGGACTGCTTTTTCTGGTGGGCAATATGCTGAACCCAGTTATGAGGAAATGGTACCGTTTATCATACCAACTGCACACCAGTTTTTTAGAAAATTCATATATATCTCAGCGAACGTAATTATGAAGGTTAGTTCTATATGTTTAACAATTGCTCTTCTTTTTCTGTATTGCTGGTGTTTCTATTAGTTTTTCCTGTTTTGTTTATCTTTTGATGAAATGTCTAATTCTTTTGAAAGCAGAAATAAGCACAAATGAAGCTGTAGGAAAAATTTAACTTGTTGTTACATTCACTTAGGCAAGTGGCATCAAAATATATACTTGTCTCGGTCATAGTAAAATTCATCATATCTATAAGTGCAATAGAGCATTTATCCGGTCGATGTTTCTCCTGAAAGAGCAGCGTCATCAAGTTCCTTTACTTGTCTTGCAGGCTAGAGTAGAGGAACTAATTGGAGTTGACTTGGACGATTATGCTATAGCAACTGCAGAAGACTGCTCTCAGAGATTAAAAACTTTTGTGAATTCAGATGTGTTGGATGCTATTCAGAGATCAGCTTCAAAGCCTTGGGTATCAGAGACACCTTATGCAAAGGATACTTGTTTGCCAGACTTAAGTGTGCTCGTGATTAATGCGAGGAAATTAGAAAAAGACTTTTTGAGGCCGTCTTATGGTGGAGCAAAGCTCTGAATTTGAGAGAACGGTTCAAATCCTCCTCCATTTCAAATTTTCTTTTCTTCATTTATGAATCTGACATTGGTACCAGTTGACTTGTCTGTTTATGAGACTAGTGGCTCAACAAATAAAATTCTATGGGCTTCATTTTTGGAGCAGTGTGTTGTTTTACCTGTAGGAACTGAATGTTTATGGATTTGTAATTATTTCATCGGGTTGTCAAGGGGTGGGATAGAACAATAGCAATATAAAAGGAATTCAGGTTTAGCTTTAACATTATATGGAGTGTTGATGTACTTTTAATTTTCAATTTTGAAAGAAACATGGCCATTTAGGCAGGGTAGTACACTAGATGTCAACCTAAAGCAGTGGATAAAGCTTCTAAATGCTGTAATTTTTTCCGTCCTTTACTATCACCTGGCCTCATACAGTTGCGTTAGTTTCCAATTGCTGGAGAACATTTTTTTTCTCATGGAATTACTCATCTGTTTCCCCCTGTCTTCGGTTATTTTCAGGACCAATAGAAAAAATCTGGCAGTTGCATTAGCACTCTACAACAGATATCTCAAGCTTTCTTCTTCTTGGTTGGTCAAGGATTTCACATCATCCGAAGTTAACAACAGTAAGATTATCCACTACGATGGGCCCAAGACTAGTTGTATTGAATCCAACAGTGGCACTGCCTTGGAATACAGTCATGGCAATGTCTGGACTCAGTACCTTCCTTCAATTTCAGATCGAATCTTGGGTAGCTAAAAATGCACCTCTGCAACAACGCAGAGATATGGCATGGGATGAAATTCACCCTTTGATGTATCATAAGGCACTTGATATTGTAAGTCAAATTAAACATGAAAATGCATATTTTTGAGGTAATTGGCATTTACTTTTTTTTATTCTTTGCTCCGATGTAATAGATATATATCCAATATGAATGGAAATGTTCTCTGCGATATGATCATTCTTTTGATGTAGAAATCAATTTCTGATTCGAGCAGTTGAAGATTGTTTGAGATTAAAGATCCTATTAGTAGGTCTGAAGCTTCTGGAAAAACACATGTACTTGCACCTAGATTATTTTGATGTTTGGTTCACTAGAGAAAACTATTGTCTATCGGTAGACATCTGGATGTTGTGTAGTTGTGTGGCGTGATGCTTGAACAGAGTATGGAGTTTCCTTAAGGTCAAACAAGAAATCACTTTGGCCGGCTGAGCTTCAGGGATTGTTTAGTTTGTACTTTGTAGTTCAATATTTTTTTCTCAAAAAAAAAAAAAAAAAGGAAGTAGCCGTTGGTTTCAAGGTCCTCTCTTCCATTTTCTCTTCTCTTGGTCCCAATGGAAACCATTTCTTACCCGATAAGGGTAGCCGGCAATCAAATGATATTCTAATTGCATTAAAATCCCATCTGCTCTGCTGATTTTCTTGTTCTGAGGAAGATTCTTCTACGCCTCCGGTCGAGGCTCACATATCATATTGTAAGCAGAGCCCAAACAATAGTGGCATTAAAATAATTCATCCATATTTCTGTAGAAATGCCAACGGAATGATAGAAAGCAATATTTTAACTCGAGGACATAAATAGCACGCTGACTCGCACCCTTAATTGCCGTCCTCCTTCTACGTCCGGCACCGTTGATTACAAACAATGTTAAGCTTTGTTTAATAATGCAGCAACCGTGAAATATGGGGATTTATGAATTATTTAGTAGGTGAAGAAAAGATGAACTTAGACATGTGAAAGCTTATACCGCGAGTTTAATATCTCAGATTCGAATGAAAGTTTGCAAGATTTGGCTTACAGATCTAGAGACAGTTGACAGTAATATTAAATTAACTAAGCTTGCCGCTTTTGATAAAGAGGCTAGCTTACCTAAATTTGCAGTAACCATGTGTTTTTCTTAGTATTTTCAGACTGTTGATCAATTTCGGAAATTTCGAAGGCATGCATAAAGAAAGCTGGCTTTTGTTATATTCAGATGAGAGAGTTCTGAAGCAGGTGGGAAGTTTCACCGAGTCAAAGGCCTGCAAGCTCCAAAAAAGTCAAAAAAATTAGCATTGCTGTTGTCTTTCTCAGAAAGGATTATTGATGGTGAAAGGTTGAGAATTGAGAAAATGAAGAATCTCAATAAACAAATTAAGGGATTATTTTAAAAGGTTGACAGTTCCAATTTGATGCACCCACTGTTTTATGTTGGAGTTCTGTCCAAGGTAGGATGAAGACAAACTACACTCGCTTTCCTATTAAAATCATTAAGGTTCGTCTTAAAATTCTGGTTTTGGTGAAATGAGAAATCAAGTTATATATTCTTGTTGTTGAAAGAACTTTTTCTTTTTTCTTTTGGCTGTATCATACTGAGTTAACAGAATTTTGCGTAGTGAGAACGATGCGGGAATCATCTAAGAAAACAAAGAGGAAGGTAAGATGGAGCAAACTGTATTCGTTTCCGTGCTTTCGACCGTACACATCCGATCCCGATTCTGCTCAGAAGCTCATCGGTCAGCCAGGATTTTCTCGGGTGGTTTTCTGCAATGAACCTCAGCTGCACAAGAGAAAACCTTACAAGTACACAAACAACTCAGTATCCACAAAAAAGTACAATGCCTTCACTTTTCTACCCAAAGCGCTTTTTGAGCAGTTCCGCAGAGTTGCCAATTTGTATTTTCTTTTGACAGCAGCGTTGTCTGTCACTTCTTTGTCTCCTGTTAAACCTGTAAGTTTGATTGCTCCGTTGGTATTTGTGGTGGGGATTAGCATGCTCAAAGAGGCCGTTGAGGATTGGTATAGGTTTTTGCAGGTAACTTCTTGCAAAACATTATAAAGACTTCTGTTTTTCCTCCTCACATCAATTGATTATTTTTATTTCCCATCACCTTGAAATTTCAGAATGTGATTATATTTTTTCTTTTTAAGTGACGTTTAGATGGACTTTCATGCTATGGTTATGCTCTATCATTAATTCTCTGCAGGACTTGAATGTAAATGCTCGAACCGTAATGGCTAATGCAGGGAATGGCCTATTTGTGGGTAAATTATGGAGAGAACTTTCTGTAGGAGATGTTGTTAAGGTTAACAAGGATGAATACTTTCCCAGCGACCTTCTTTTGCTATCGTCCAGCTATGAAGATGGTGTTTGTTATGTGGAGACTATGAACCTTGATGGAGAAACGAATCTGAAGATCAAGAGATGTTTAGAGGCCACAGTTCATCTGAATGAGGATGCAAAATTCAGTGAATTCAAAGCCACTATCTGTTGCGAGGATCCCAATCCAAGCCTTTACACCTTTGTGGGGAATTTAGAGTTCGAGAATAAAACGTACCCCTCGAGCCCTCATCAAGTACTTTTAAGGGATTCAAAGCTTCGAAACACCGATTATGTTTATGGAGTAGTGATCTTTAGTGGGCATGATACGAAAGTAGTAAGGAATTCAACCATGTCGCCATCTAAGCGAAGCAGGCTTGAGAAAAAGATGGATAAAGTCATCTACCTTCTTTTCTCTATGCTTCTTCTGATTTCACTAGTGACTTCCATCGGGTCTGCTCTGTTCATAAAATCTGATATGAGTGAATGGTGGTACCTTCTTTGGGAAGATTCTGATCCCCTCTTTGATCCATCAAAGCCTGCGAAATCAGGTTTTCTACAGTTCATAAGGGCTCTTATATTGTATGGCTACTTGATCCCCATTTCTCTGTATGTCTCTATTGAAGTTGTCAAAGTTCTACAAGCAATGTTCATTAACAAGGATATACAAATGTATGACGGAGCAACCTGTAAGTCTGTCCAGGCTCGAACTTCAAATTTGAATGAAGAACTTGGTCAAGTAGAAATCATTCTGTCAGATAAAACTGGAACTTTGACTTGTAATCAGATGGAGTTCAGGAAATGCTCGATTGCAGGAATTTCGTATGGTGGAAACATAAATGAAGTTGATCTTGCTGCTTCAAAGCGAATGAACACGGACGTTGAGGCATATCAATATAGTATCGACCAATCTGACGCAACAAGTCAGATCCTTGAAATGTCTGAGATCTCTGTGGCTGATATTATCACTCAACAGGCTATTCTACGGGGTCAAGAAGATGCGGATTATTTGAATGCTAGAAACTCAAGAGTCTCCTATGTGAGGAAAGAATCAATTAACAAGGCCATCAAGGGTTTCAATTTTAGGGATGACAGGATAATGAACAACCAGTGGATTCACAGGTCTGACTTGTTTGATATGACAATGTTCTTCAGAGTCATGGCTCTATGTCACACAGGTATACCTGTTGAAGATGGCCAAACTGATAAGCTTAGATACGAAGCAGAGTCCCCAGAAGAAGTTGCTTTTTTGATTGCTTCACAAGAATTTGGATTCCAGTTTTTCCAGCGGACACAATCCATAATGATCCTCAAAGAGCTCGATCCTTCCTCCGGGAAGCAGGTGAAGAGGTATGTCCCACCCCAAAACACCCACACCCCCCTATGTCACAAAGCATTAAACTAATGTCAAGGTTTATCTTCAGGGAGTACAATCTGTTAAATTTTTTGGAGTTCAGTAGTTCTCGTAAGAGAATGTCTGTAATAGTAAGAGATGAAGATGGTAAAATCTTTCTTCTCTGCAAAGGGGCAGACAGGTAAGTGGCCCATTCGTTCATTCCATTATTTGAATCCAGTTGTCTGTACAACAGTGAATGACTTCCAGTTAGGTCATTCTGTTCTCATTTTTTAGCTAATTTTGTTTTCAGCATCATCTTCGATAGGCTTGCAGATAATGGTGGGGCATACCAAGAAGCAACAACTTCACACCTTTCATATTATGCAGAAGATGGATTTCGGACACTAGCATTTGCTTATCGAGTACTCGAGCTGGCCGAGTACGAACATTGGAACTCAATATTTATGCAGGCAAAGACTACAGTAGGTCCTGAAAGAGAAGAATTACTGGAGCAAGCAACTGAAAAGATAGAAAAAGAACTGATTTTATTAGGAGTTGCAGCTGTGGAAGACAAGTTACAGACAGGGGTTAGCTTTTTCTCTTTCTGAGTTAGTACATGCATGTGAGGGATTGAAAGCAAGGATTTCTTTTTATGGAACTGATGCATCTTTCTTGACTGATACATCAGGTTCCAGAATGCATAGATAAACTTGCTCATGCAGGGATGAAAATATGGCTGCTCACTGGTGACAAGAAGGAAACTGCAATAAATATCGGGTAAGGTTTGTGAACCGTTCTTGAGAGATACAATACAATCCCAAAAGGATCGTCCTGAATAGTCTTATTTTGCTTCCTTTTGTCGCTGTTGTACTGCAGATTTTCTTGCAGCTTACTTCGGCAGGACATGAAACAGTTCCATGTATTTTTGAGCAAAGAAGCCGAGTCTAACAACCAACTGAAGGTGATAACTTCAAAGAGTGATGCTATTAAAAGCTTTTTTGCATTTGTTCACCATCTCAAAACTGAGAAATTAGTGGAAAAGATAACAGAATGGTTATGCTAATCCCAGATACATTTAATGATGGATTCTTGTTCCTTCACTGTGTCTTCCTGTGAATTTGGTTGGCAGTTACAGGTTTTCTTTGATAGTAATATATTGCCTTCTCCTAGTTTTTCAGGCTATGAAAGAAGAGATTTTGCACCAGATTGAAACTTCATACCAAGAGATGTGCCAAGATAGGAATAACGATTCACCATTTGCTTTGGTGGTGGACGGAAGAGCTCTTGAAATTGCTTTGAAATCTGACGTGAAGGACCAGTTCTTACATTTGGCTGTTAATTGTGCTTCTGTTATATGCTGCAGAGTATCTCCAAAGCAGAAAGCTTTGGTAGGCTTTGCATCTTGTTCATACCCTGATCGCTAACGTATGTAGAATTGACACAAATTGGATGCATTTCAAACAAAATTTGAATGAACTCCGGCTTGTTTCTTGTTTTTTTACTGAATAAGTCTATTAACTTTTCTCAGATTAGTTCGAACAAGAAAACCTTATGATTTCTTACACATCTTTCCATGAACTTCAATGACTTTGCATTTTCGAAATATGGATTAGCTAGCTCTCAGACTTTGGCATTTCCAGATTACTCGATTGGTGAAGGAGTACACTGGTAAGACAACCTTGGCGATTGGGGATGGGGCAAATGATGTTGGCATGATTCAAGAAGCTGATATTGGAGTTGGAATCAGTGGAATGGAAGGAATGCAAGTAAGACTCACAATTATTTGCAGGAAAACCTTTGCTTCATCCTCTTTTCAGTCATTTCTAAATTAACCAGATAGTAAGTTCTTTATCGCCATTATTGCTTGCAGGCAGTCATGGCCAGTGATTTCTCATTGCCTCAGTTCCAATTTCTTGAGAGATTACTCATTGTTCATGGGCATTGGTGTTACAAGAGAATCTCTAAGATGGTGAGTGTCCTTTTCTTCCACATGTCTAATCAAGCATCTACAAGTCAAGGCTGCATCTCCTCATTTGAACTCAATTCCTCCCCTTCCGGCTACAGGTTCTCTACTTTGTGTACAAGAACATTGCATTCGGCCTCACTCTATTCTACTATGGAATATACACAAATTTCTCTGGGGATGCCTTATATGATGACTGGTACATGGTAATGTTCAACGTCCTTTTGACATCATTGCCAGTTATATCTCTTGGAGTCTTCGAGCAGGACGTTTCGTCAGAGGTATGCCTCCAGGTAATGCACAAGCCAGAGAATCTAATTTCCCTGTAAACAAGAGAGAAGGAAGATTTCTAATTCATCTACATTTTCAAACAGTTTCCATGCCTTTACAGACAAGGGCAGAGGAACACAAATTTCTCTTGGAGCCGTATCGTTGGTTGGATAGCGAACGGCATAATTGCTTCGTTAGTAATATTCCTCGCAACCATATGCATGCTCTCCCCAGCTGCATTCAGACAAGAAGGAAATGTTGCAGACATCACACATTTGGGTGCGATTATGTACAGTTGTATAATATGGACTGTGAACTGCCAAATCGCTCTCGTCATCACTCACTTCACTTGGATCCAACATCTTTTCATCTGGGGCAGCATCCTGTTATGGTACATTTTCGCGCTTGCCTACGGTGCTCTCCCTCCTTACTTCTCTCAACGAGGATTTAGCATCATCACAGAATCGATCGGATCATCACCCATGTACTGGATTGCTACGTTGCTTGTAGTGGTTGCTGCACTGCTTCCATACTTCGCACACACTGCCATTCAAAGATTGTTCTATCCGATGGACGATCACATAATCCAGGAAATGAAACACTGCAAGAAAGATGTTACAGAAAATCAGATGTGGCTGAGAGAACAACGAAATTCGCAGAGGAGTACTCAGGTTGGATTTTCTGCAAGAGTTGATGCAAGAATTCAATCGTTCAAAGAAGAGTTGAGTAAAGAGGATATCAATATACAAGTCTTGTGACAAACTATCCTTTCTATAAATCATGGACAAGCAGCCCATTATTTTCTCAAGTTAGCCGAAGATTGTATTTTTTTTTTTTTTCCAATTTAGTTCCTCCTTAGATTTACCTGGTAAGCTAGATTCACACACCTGGATCTCTAAATGAAAAAGTTCTGTAATACATCCGTTTACAGTTCCAAATGCTTGAAGGTATGCTTATGGTCCTCTAAGTTTCAGATTTTGGTCACATTGACCATTGTACCACAATTTGGGTATTGCCAACCCTCATATTTCCAGTTTGTGACACGCATGGTTCCCCTTGTGCAATCGTGTCCATTAGATCGCTGCCATTCACATGATGTTGAACCGTAAGGGCTGAGATGTCTAAAATTACATTATATCTCATTTTCATACGTACCAGTACTTTTTTTCTTAATCTGGTTTCATTGACGATAAAATATTTTACAAGTTCACACGATTGATAACACATCCAGTTCCCATCTGTTATAAAATGACAAATATATATATATTTATCATGTCATAAAATAATGCTGTGTGCAAAATTTAGCAAAAAAAAATAGAAATTGATAAAAGGATCTAATTGAGAAATATCTGAAACGTTCTAGATCTAATTGATGAAAGTGTTTTTGTTTCAGGACTCGTTTGGGGATTAGATAATACATTTGGGGCTAGTTTTGAGGTTTCGAGAGAAAAAAAAAATTACTACTGTATGATTTTAAAGACAGCAACGAAAAAGTAAATTCTAAGTTGACGGACTGTAACTGTAGAGCCGCCATAACCCAAACGCCTCCGTTTTCTTTCTTCCCAACTTATTAGGTTTTTCTCGCTGCCTCAAATCACTACCGCCACCGCCATCTCTTCCACCTGCGGCAGCATTCAGAGCTAAACAATCATAAGCCCTCTCTCACATGGATAGCAGACAAGAAATTCTGGGGCATAACAGTTCCGAAGACATACGCTGGCTCTGTAACCTATCAGAATCTGAGCTGGTAAGTTAGACACGAGTCTTCTCTTTTTGTTCTCATTCGTATAAATCTTGGTGAATTTAATAGTTTTTTTTTTAATTTATTTTTGCAGGATATGTTAATTAGGTTAAAATCACTAATTCTCCATCGCGCAACAGTAATCGGTCAAGATGAACTCGCCAAGAATTTCGATTTGCCCACGCTTCGAGCCATCGGTATCTTTTTCTGCTTTTTTTTCAGTTAGTTTTTTTTATAGATTGTAAATAGATATGGAAATGGAAATGGAATAACAGTGAACTGTTGAAAGTTTAATTCGGAAAATAATTTACGTAACCGGCAGTCGGCCCGAGCCGGCCAATTGCCGAAAAAGATATTTATGTTTGATTGCTGCGTTTCAGTCGTGTGTGTAATATATGCGTGGTGAAAACTCAATACTGACATGCCACGCGTGTACTGTATGCATAGCTGGAATGCTATGGTCATGAAATGTCTGGCTATTGCTAGTGTTGCTCTTAGGTCTTTCTTGTTAGGTTATGTATATATTGAAATTGGATTGATCTGGTATCCAGGATTCTGTTTATTAGGGTTTGTACTCTGTTTGACTTGTTCTTAATGGTGAATGACATTGGAATGTAGTAAAGTGTGGTAAGATTCATTTGGTAGTCACATTGTTGAGCTTGAGATGCTTAATGTTATGTGGTGCTAACTTGCTTTTGCAGTGTTATTCCAAACCCAAACATGACATGCTCGAAATCGTTGACTTGTAGTTGAGAGAATTCACTGAGTCTTCTAGCCCTTTAAGGATCATAGTGAGTGCTTGTCTATGTGAGCTTGTGAATGCAACCATGACGTCCAGATTCAAACAAAAAATTGATTATTGACACTGCTTTGTTTTAGGCGTTTGATATGATTAAGAATGAAGGGTAGTTGAGTATGATAAAAATTGGTCATTGAGTGGAGGCAGTGGTAAATTTTTCAGGCAGCCAAGCAACTGCATGGTTCAAGTCCTGAAACTGCAATTGCATAACACTCTTGATCAATTGTTTAGAATCCTTCTTTGGCAGCTTCAAGACTAAAAAATGCCCTTGAATGCTGAATATGATAACAGGATGTCTTCATCCTTTCCCTTGTTGAACGTAGCTTCCTTCCATGTAGAATTAAATCAGTTCTGTGAAGTTTTCCACTCTTATAGTGGCTAAGAATGTGTCATGTTTTCTCCGAGCCATATGCAGGGCTATTTTTAATGGAATATCTGAAAGGAAAGGTTAAAGATTTATCACACGTTCAAGGCTTAACCAAGCTTGCTGCATTCCCAGAATGTTGCAATCTATTAAAAGGTAATACTGGGGACAATTCCAGTATTGAAGAGCTGAAGGCATGTATTGGTATTGATGAACGAAAAAGACCAACCAAAAGGTATGAAGAATCTCAAAGTGCTGTTGTTTATGACTTTCTGTTAAGTTATGATTTATTTTTGGTAGGTGTTTGGACTTTACTGATAATTCTAGAATTATTTTTAATTCATTCATTTCCCTGCCTTCGTTGGCAATTTGGAATTCTATTGTTGACGATGCTTGGTTTATGATTTTGTGCAAGATTCTAGTACTAAGAACATCATTCTTATCGTTCTAGATTTATTATGTAATATTTGTTGAAGTGTAGACGTTAATGTAGTCCGTCTTTATTTGTGCCTTTTTACCTGCCACTACAAGAACTTGCATCAAAAACTACATCCAATGACTGATAAGCATCTGGTTCATTTTGTTGCTTTGATTTTCCTGAAGGACAAGTTAATACTTGTTCATAAGTATAGAGACAATGCTTGAGGAGTTATGTACTCACTGAGAGCTATTCTAGTTCGTTATTTCTATTTGGTCAACTGATATTGGTTCCAGCAGTCTTTTAACTTAAATTTAAAAGTGATGTTTGCAGTTCTTTGGCAAACTATGGATTTTTTTTTTTTTTGGCAGCCCTGTTGTCACTTACTTTACAATCAAATTCTACATTCTTGAAAACATATCCAACCACGACCGTACCATCTTTTCAGTAATTGTCACTTAATGTTTTCTAGATTGAAAAATCATCCTGGACAAGAAATAAGTTCCCCCCTGCCAGTTGAATATTTGAAGGTTTTTTTTCTAGTTATCAGTTCGAATCATTACATTGAATATGCATGAACTAGATTTTTGTTTCTCTGCGGGTTGCATGTTGGTTCCTTGCCGTAATTTGCTGCTGTCAAAACATATTATAGGAATGAAGTTCTACTGTCTGCTCTTCATTTCTGATACATTTCCTTAATCCTTCTGTTAATTTATTTGTTTGTAGACTAGGTGAAGAGGCAACCAAACAGAAGAAACAGAGATTATGACATTGTGTAAGCCAATTGAAGGATCACAGTTGGTTAACAGCAGTCTCACCAATTTCTTAGAGGAAGCAGACGCTTCTGATGATGTTGTCTTAAAAAAAGTAGAACTGTATGATATTTTTTGCCCCCATGACATGTTTTTGCCGCAAGTCTTCCTATTCTTCAGTGTGGAGCTTGTATGCAAACTTGAACTATCTATGTCTAAAGCTATATAATGGATCGTGGTTGAAAACCAATGTGTCTCCGATAGATTGTTATTGATATCAGTTCAACTTATAAATGCAATCTTTGTAATTTTGGTGCCGAACCTATTCCTAAGAATGCTGGTGTAAATAACTGTGCCCGTTCCAGTTATCTGAGATGCTAATCTATTGGGTTACAAGCCACATATAGGCAAGTATGGAAACTCATTTGGGTGAAAGCAAGCATAAAACAACACAAATGCCAAATTCAAGATAACTATGGAATTCGCGTACCAGCTCAAGGTTGCCAACTTCTTCAGGGTAGGCCAATATTTGTGGTCTAATTTCTGGTGTGAAAGCTAAAAAGGGGGTTAGAGGTAAAGAGAGAGGTTGCATTCTGAGCACGCCATAGAGGTATAAATCAATATGTGTGCCATTCTTGAGCTGCATGGCTTGATAAACTGAAATTTCATAATGGGGGTGGGGTGGGGTGGGGGGGACAAGAGTGGGGATGTGATGGAAGAAGCCACTGAAATAGATCAAACAGCCTTTTGAGGATGTGGGCTTTAGTCATTTCTTCACTCTTTCTCCTGTTCTGACCACACCATGATTTTCTTGTTGGCCGTGCTTGTTTCTTTGTACTAACCAACGCATGGCAATAAGGGGTCGTTAGGGCCCTCATGTTCTTTAAAGATCTTGGAAAGAGATGTCCAATTCTCCTTTCACGTACAACGCCAACTTTTTTATGTCTAATAAATAAATGATTAAAAAGGCTTTATGGTTCTTCATTATAAAGAGTGCAATTCACCACCCTGGATCATTGTTATATCTAATATTATTTATTTTAATTTTTTTATTCAAATAAGTTATAAAGTAAATTCCATATTACGGAAAATTTGAACAAATTAGTTTTGTCTCTCATTTTTATTAATAACATGTTATCGTATGACTAATTAGATATTGGATTAAATTGTTGGTTTAATGAAATGTTTAATAATATAAAATTTATTTTGGATCGTATTATAAATCTTGTTTGACATCCTCATTCCTAACCCAATAGATTGCTTCACATGAAAAAGTAGTTAACTATTTCCCAACCCAAGTAGACATACTTTGGTTCAACAAAATTAAAGATAATGGAGAGCCACTCTTGTCGAATTTCTGTAGGCAAGAGAGGGAGACCACTGACCACTAAGCCAGTAGAAATAATTTCTTCTTTCCAAAGTCAAACTATTCATTCCCATCATCAAAATAACCCCCATGCTTTGTAACCTCCAAAGACAAGATCATAAATAAGCGCCATTCAACAAAAGTTGGTTTAGGGCCAAAAGAAATGATTAAAGATGCACCACGTTGCCCCCCCACCGTCTAAATCACATAGTATTTTGTTTTTGTTTTCCTTCTCCTCATCAATTATTCCAAAACGTACACCTACGACCTTCCATTTACATGGTGACAATAAACAAGCAGATAGACACTTGAGACAAGTCTTGACCAATGATGAGACAACTGCAATGACTTGAATTTAATTCATAAAAATTTTGGTGTTATTTGATACCAAAATAAAAAAACAAGTGGCCGTGATACTACTGAGGGACAATTAATGGGTTAAAAAGTTAGGTAGGTCTCCAAGGCATGCGAGCGAATCTTATCGTATCATAGCCTTGTTCGAGATTATACCATGGTGTAGAATTAAGAATGAATAAACATACACTAATCACTTTTAATTAGTGGATAATGGGCAATGGACCTAAAAGAGATTAATTTGCTTAAGCATCAAGGCACCCACTCTCAGTGTCCGATAAAAATATTTCCCTCCATGAGATCGCCTAAAACAAGGAGACGTCAATTGTCTCTCAGATGGAAAAAGCAATTCCACCAATAGAACCTTCATTTCTACTTTGAAAAGTAATCTTAATTAGTATTATTGATCCACAAACCATGGCATTATATGACTTTTGGTTAATTACTAGAGGGAGGTGGTTTTATTAAGAACATATATATATATATATATATATATTCAAGGTCAATGTCATCACATCATTTCTATGATTTTGTTCATGTCATGCTCCAGGCAAGAATCTTACAATTGAAATAAATCAAGGAAAAATCTCGGTGACAATACTAGTTCACTATTATTTCTTTCTTTCTTTTTAATAAGCAGCAAAAGGGCAATTAGATCACATCTCTTTCATGCTACATACTTTAAAAGAAAAGTGTAAAGAATCACTGATTAGATTAGCATTTATTGGCTGGTCTATTAATTATTTTGTCCAAAAAAAAAAATTATGAAGTAATTTTGTGCGGGCAACAGAATGAGTTTTATGACTCTACATATATATATATATTACTGTAGATGTAAAATTGATTTTGCGTAACAATAATTTTTCTACTAGGCCTGTCTTGGTCATCCTTATCCTCAGAGAAAGAAGGCAAGAACATGCCAACATAATTTTTTATCTGTCTGCTTCATTTTTCTTTCCTTTCTATTTTATATTTCTCCATATTCAATTTTTGTTACTTCGTTGTGGAAAATATTGACATGAAGAGAATGACCTCCTCATCAGTCTTCGAGCATAAAAATAAAAAAATAATTGGACTTTGTGCTTCCTTGGAATATGGTAATATATATATAGAGAGAGAGAGAGAGATCGAGTGCAACCGAAAATACACAACCACTAATTAATATAGTGTTAATTGTTTATAAATACCAATCACTAATTGAGTGTTGCTGTTTTATTAATCCAAGTCTCTCTATTATATATGCTACCAAGAGAGATTATTACGTATGCATATCTGATCTGATCTATATACGTAGACCAAACCAATTATATACTAGCTAGAATTTTAATTTTAATTTTAATTTTGTGCATCAATCAATTATAAATAAATAGTTTTATTTTATATGAAGCGGGTTAATTGGTACAATAAATGATTTCCTATATATGTTAGATACCGTATGGGTTGGAACTGAAGCAATTAATTATTCAAAACAGGAGTTTTCACAGACAAAATCATTGCATTGATGCTTGGGAAAACAGTTCAAATTCGTGGGTTGTTGGGCATGGCAAAATGTACATTTATAGCTCATTGTGACACTTGATGATACCACGTTCTGAATCCTTAGTTTACGAACGGATTGACAAAAATGGAATCATATTTATATAATTACCTACTCATAGCATTTTCTTGAACAGCTACAGCCGTGAAATAATTTAGGTGTGACTAGCTAGGCAGCTAGATTCACATTTTTAATTAATTTGCCTACGTCCTAGGCTTCTAGCTAAACCATGTGATTTTTTCGACATGAAATTTTGAAAATCGTAATATATAACTTTAGTTTTGGATTCAAAATTGTAACTTTGTCAACTTCTATCAAGATTTCAAAACAAAGCGCCAAAAGTATTGAATTCAATAGTTATTGACCAATCCGTGTGTGTATCGTTTCGCTCGTAAATGTTAATTAGGATTTAATGATCGATGAAGTGTTATCATGGTTAGAAGTTTAATAACTAGAGTTTAAAATGTAAAATCGATTTATAAAAAAAATAAAAAAATAAATTATCGTTAATCGAATTAAATTGATAAGATTTTGTGTAGGTCATTAAAAAAAAAAAAAAGCATTTCACTAGAAAACAAAAGAAAACTATATGAACTGAGACCAATTGCCTTTATCTAACACGCATGTAACATGCAAGAAGTACTATTAGTGAAATACATTGGGAGGATTAAATCAGCTAAACTCCATAAAGCCTTAGAGTTGAATTAATAAATTATTGGCTTAAGAAGAATATTCCAAAGAGAAACAATAAAAAAAGGGAGACAATCAAGAAACTCTTAAACCATTCCTTTTGATCCAAATCCTTGGATCCTAAACTTTAAGAGCTCCTGCCCTCTTGTTTCATGTCATGCAGTACTTGTTGGACTAGAAGACGTTTGAAAATTTGTAGCTCTAAGAAATTTTTCATTCATGATACACGATCTTAGACCATAAAATATGTTTAACATGCATGATGTAATTATTATTTATGAGAGACTTTAAGCATCCTTAAGTTGGCCTGCTTCCCTTAACAAGGAACATGCTAGTTAGTCTAGCAGTCCTCGATCTTGCCGCCCTATTTGGTGGACTGGTCAAATTACTTACAAATTTGCTTAAAATGGCAAATTGTATGTTCCCACCTATCTGGAGAGAACTAGTTTACGTGTGTGTGTGTGTATTTTTCATGGGAATTTAAATTCTTTTTTTTTTTTTTTTTTTTTCAGATTTCGCAAATAGTACGTAGCATTTTTTTCTCACTTTTGATGCAAAACTAAATTCATTTTTTCAATGATCAGAGACAAATTATCCACGTTATGATTAAAAGAGTTATCTAAAAGAAAAAATGATATTAATTACAATTTAATAATAAAATAAAAAATAAAAAAATTATATGGGCCGGAATTATATATTGGCGAAAGGTGTTCTGGGTGCCAAAAAAAGTGCATCATTTCTCCTATGTCGGGACCCTCTTTGCTTTGAATTTCATGCCTTTTATTGTTTCTAAAAAATTTAAAAGTCTTGTTGCTGCCTCTCCTTTTCTTTATGCCAACCGAAAGAGATTCTCTTCTTTTTTTCCCTTCCAACGGTAGAAAGGATGTCTCTATATGGGTTGACTAAATGACTACATATATATTAACGTACCATACTATAACCTCATCACCAATATGCAATATTTCCATTGTTTTGACCAAAAAAACACCTAATTAAGTTGTCTCTAAGCGGCGGGTTGTATATTTATTCTTCCATGATAGAATAATTGATTCACCTAATTTACCTACCTAGGTGAATTTCTTTTGGTTCCTCCAAAGGATGCAGAAGAGTGAAAGTGTTCCATATTCCAATTACAATATTCTTGGATGGTGAGGGTTAGTGGACTTAGATTGATGATGTTTGAGACACTGCTTTGAAATTATAAAAGATTGTTGATTAACAATGGGTTATAAAGTAATTACCAATTAGTTCTTGGGGAACTTTTTGTTTCTTCTTTTCTCTAAATCAATCTTCGTTTTGTCACGACTACCTAACTACCTCTAGGTTTGCAAAATTTAATTTGCATTTCAAGATCTTTGATGATGAGCTTGATGTTTTGTCATAAGAAAGATGGATACGTTGGTTACACCATTAAAATTTTACTAAATAGAAAGCAAATAGTGATAGAATAACAACTCGTCATAATCGACGACGAAATAGTGATGGACTAGCGAAAATTTATTTGCAGTCGACACTAATATGTCGATAAATTTGACAAGAAAATCTTTTTAGAGTTTTAGAGACGGTTTAGCAATGAATTTGTTAGGAAAAATAACGACGGAATGGCAAATCCGTCACTATTTTCATTGTCATGATTTAGCGACCACTACAAAAATGTCATGCTATTTGGCAAAAATCTATTGCTATATGCAATTAAAGATAGATTAGAGACAATATTCAATCTATCACTAAAATGGTGGTCGTTTTTCTTAACGATTGGAAATTTTTTTTTTTTTTGGTCGCTAATTAGCCTCTCTATTATGTTGCTAAATCCATTACTATTTTTTTTAAAATCAATTACCGTTTATTGGTAATTGTAACAACAAACAAATATAAACAATACCTTATTAAAATACATTATATTATTAAATAAAATTAAAATTATATAAATTAAAATAAAATAGATATATAAATGCGTTAAGATGTATAAAAATATTAAAAAAATAAAAAATTTAGTCTTCATTATCACCATCTTCCGCATCATCTTCCAACTACTCGGTCGTTAAACGAAACGACCGACTACTAGGTTGTGGGATAGCGGGACGGACGAGAGGTAGTTGGAGGTTCTTTAACAACCTCATAACTCTCCGTAATTGAATCCGCATGTTGTTAATTTGATAAACCTATTGCTGGATGATAGCTTCCAATGCCTTGATCCAATCTTCGTATCGGATCGAAACTCGTTAGATATTACTACCGGGATATCGCAAAGTCGCAAAATGCGAGTAACACTAGGTCGTATAAATTTTGATGTCATACACTCTTTACCTCTTTTCTTCTCCAACAGACATCCAAATATATCTTGAACATGTCGATATCTTGAGACGATGCATTACCCTCCCGTCGCTTTTTAGCAACTCGCTTCTTGCATTGATTGCACCCACTCCTAAGTCATTCAAATAATA